ACCCCCGCTGACTATCGACCGGTGACCGTGCTTCTGGTGTTATCAAAAACAAATAGAGTTGATTGTGGCAGATTCTCTGGTGGAACAACTCAAAAGATACAACATTCTTTTGACAGCTCACCACGTGTTCAGGCGAAAGCGATCCTGTATTCAATATAAGTTTGGTAGCGATTAGTGAAGTTCGCGTCACTGTATTCCGCTGTACAATGATGATGATGGTAATCCTGCCACACCAACCTACTTCTTGTTCAAGATGAATGAACCGGAACAGTCGACAAAGGGGGCTATGGTGGATGTGATTTATCTCGACTTCTTCTCGAAAACATTTGATAGGATGAATGACCAATTTTTGTTACAGAAACTCTACAATTACGGCATTCACGATCTCGTGTTTAGAGCATTCCTTCAACAACGGATCATCACAGTTCGTGTTTCTGATTCCCTATCCGGATTTATCAGTGCCACTCACGGTGTTCCATAATGATCCGTACTCAGTCCCCGTCTGTTTCTCGCATTCATGAATGATCTATCGAACATGTTAGGTCCAAAAACAATATTGTTTGCAGACGATGCCAAAATCTGGAATACGGTAACAGAACCCGAGGGCTCTCTAACACTTCAAGAATCACTTAACGCAACTTATCGATGGTCTAAGGAGAATGGCATTGAATTCAATATTTCTAAATGCAAAGTCCTATCCCCGCCCTATTTGAGAAGATTCTCATATTTCCTCGCAAATGAGCAACTACCACATACCTCAAATGAAAAGGACTTGGGTATTGTTGTTCAAGAGGATTTACGCTGCTCGATCAATTGTTCTAAGGCTTCGTCTACTGCTGTGAAAAACGTCGGCTTGCTTAGGCGATTCTGTGGTCGGTTTCAATCAGCACTGTTCCTACGTTTGCTAGCAGGGTACATTCGACCATACACAGAGTAGGCCATCCAAGCTTGGAGTCCATGGTTTCAACGTAGTGGCAAGATTCTTGAGCGCCTACAAAGGATGGCTACCAAGATTGTAAAGAGATAGCATTACCTCGCCTATGAGGAGAGATTACGATTGATTTTGATGTATTAAATGTTTCAGAACCCAAATCATCCATGTCAGCAGCTGCTCATGTTACCTAACAATGTACATGTTAGGGGACACCAGTTCAAGTTGCCGATTCCAAAGTGTCGACTGGAATGCCAGCATCAATCTTTTACGGTCATTCACGTCGTTTGTGCACCAAGCGCAGACTCGTTAAAACCCTGGTACACCCCGCATTCCCACATTGCTAAAAACAAACGCAACTTCGTTGCAGATTGTATTCACTGTTATCTCCTACCTGAAACTCCACGTGATTGTTGTTGTTTCTCGCAAAGAAACGATTGATTCAATTGTGCAAATATCCTATGAGGACAAGAGAAGCATGGGTTTGTAAGTAATTCCCATAATAAAAATTTTACTCTGACACACACAAATCTCCATTACTCATCGAAATATTGATTAACGTATATTTGTTAACCCGCCCGTTCCCGTTGCATCAATTTGATCTTTAAAGATTTGAGTGTGAGGTTTGTATCGTAAATGTTTGCATATAGATGCCCATTTGCTCGTTGAGCTTATAGGCCTCATATCATGCACATAAATACTGTCCATCATCGATCGTTTAATCGATATGACAACCCCTCTCTTCCTACTTCATTGTTTTATTTGCCCCATACCAATTTCTTCTCATATACTAGTCGAACATCTTTGCCCAATCTGCTCGATTTGTTTGTTCATAGTTAATCACTACTTTGTATTCGCATACGACGTTTTTCATGCCTGCTTCTGTGCGCTTTAAATCTCGAGAATAATTGTTCTCTTATCAATCTATCTTCGATTTTTATCTCTCCGTATAGTGTCGATCCAGAATTTCATTGCGGTTTCGTCCGTCTTTTGTTTGTTCTCAGCAAATAGACAGCTTGATGGAACCATTCACGTCATGTTTTGCACGTCTGTACCGGAGTAGCACAGTATTGCACCCCGCTATTACGTCAACAAACGACCTGTACCAGACGGTAATCACTTCACCTAATTTCGCTCCTGCTCCAAGCATATGCACATATACTTTGATAAACTGCTTTGCTAGAATAACTACTTCTAATCGTCGGTAGTTTGGTTTACCTACCCATTTTCCCATCAAGCTTTAGCCAAAACCTACAATCCTTTAACCAAGACCAGTCCAATCCTTTGGTCTCAACGCACAAACATTAGTCACACACACACACTGCTGTAGACCATTCAGATCAAAACATATTGGAATTTACTCTGAGGCCAACGAATGTACAAACATTTTATTTTCTACAAATCTCGATATTGCAAAGCTTGGCTAAAAAATCGGTTGTGTTGGTCGCAGGCTGAACCACATGTTATTTGGAGCCAATTTAACGAACGTACCCGTATCATCAAACTATCGGACATATCTCGTACAGTTTCAGTGCTTCCGTATAATATACGATACTTATGTGAGTAGAAATCTCAAAGCTAAGACAAACAGTACAGAGTTTTGCATTTACAAGCCCTGAAATAAGGTGAAACTTTTTCCATCAAGGTTTGGACGAAACCCGTAATTCTTGAATATCGATCGTGTTAGTTATCAGGCCTTGCAGCGTCTTTTAAATTGTGACATGATTAAAGTTTGTGTGTCGAGGTTAGGGGATTGTGGGTCTTCGCTAAAGCTTGATGAGAAAAGGTGTAGTTCAATGGTCATATAAAACAGGGGTGTATGGGGTACCCAGTAGGAGTAGCACCTCTGACTCGGAGGTCTCTCGGCCCCTTTGATGCATCCTTCATTCTTTGATTTCCACAAGGCGCACAGCTCTCACCTGTGGCTTCAAGAAGCTGTTTGGATGCAACGAGAGCTCAACTTCTGGCCACTCGGTGTCTGACGTGTGTTGGGCGAACGAAGTGACCTTCGCGACTCAACTGTCAAGGCAATGAGTCCGTACTCATCACGGATGCATGGACCCCTGTTCAGTTATAAACTATCAATGGTTTATGAGCTCCCTCTTCAGAGGGCCACCGGCAACCATGCCCGACCTTTCTTGCAGTTAGCACTTGGATGTACAAAGGCTAGGGATGCCACCTCGATCCAAAGCCGGATGACGCTGTGGACGTTTCCTGCTCCTAACTACCAAGAAATTTCATGGAAATTCACTTGATATCCACGAATCCATATTATCCTCTTCTTCCGCCGTAATATAAAGTAAAGTAAGTACAAAACTCTTTGGAATTCATGGCTCAGAAAGCAGAACGTATTGAAACAACGAGCCAGCACCATTCATTTGCGTTTGTGAAGAATCATTAAATGTAAATTTGACAAATGATCATGGTAAGCGTTAAACAAACAGAGCGAGGATAGATCATGCCACGAGAATGGTATGCGATCAGGTCGGGAATATCGATCGAACACACAAAAGCGAGCTGTTTGTTATTCGAGCGAGTTAGGCCATCAATTGATGAGATTCCTAAGTCGGATTGGACATATGCACACTGATTCACGGGGCGTGAGTGCAACAAAATCGAGTCGTTCGGTTTATTTGAACCGCTGTCATTGACCAAAATGTCTTTTTGTTTCATTGCATGCAATTAGCAAACCTTGCCCAGATAGAATTTCCCGTTTTTCTCGTTTGTAATACTTTCTCTCAGTTGATTATCTGACGAACGAATACAGGATTTAGATCCTCGATCCTGGATCACGTATACACGTCGTTAAGACTCAAGGATCAAACAATACAACACAAGCGAGGTTACGTGGCCACCCAAAAATGAAATAAAATATTGCTCACTTAAGGAAGCTTGCTGAAATTTCGGATTTCAAGCCAACCAAGAAGAACCCTGCGAACTACACATACAATCCTGGTTGTGACAGTGGTCACGGGCTCAATTGGGCATCGAGGTGTTTTGGGCACCTCCCAAGAAAATTCGCCTGACTTGGTCAGAGGGCCCTGACAGTATTCCGTCCACTAGCATTTCATGAACTACTTTTTGTTCTTATAAAGATTATTGTACCATGATTCATTTGGAACACAGTCTGTATTTAAACGCATTTGAAATGTAAATACACACAATGTATGTTCCGATCTCGAATATAGAATGATATCGCTTCGGTGGGCCGGTTATATCCTAACGTTATGGGGATTTATGTTGCAAATTGGAACCTTTCTGTAGTATGGACCCCGCTTCTGTACAGCACACGATCTACTAAGTGAATGCATTGATCTATCAACATTCCAAACAAATTAATCCACTTCATTAAACGAATGACCGAGGTTAGGCCGAGGTTATTCATATGACAAAATACTAGCGTTAACAACACGCATTATCGATCCATCGGCAAAGGAAGCAGCCGTAGCTTATTTAGTGTGACGAGACCTGATTCCAATTGAGATATCACAATGGAAGAATTTCTGCATGACACTCATATGAAAAGTGCATGAATGAGGATATAGATCATCCAATTCCAAAAGTTGTTTGCCGTTTCCATACAGATTTACGCCGGGTGAGGAGGAGGCATTTCGAATTTGCCAAATTTGTGCAATTGGGCTCCGTTCGGGGACCAGTTACTGCACGAATCTGAACGAACATCTGTTACCTCAAATTTTTTACGTGAACCCAAAAAGATTCCGTAATATTAAAGCTCCAAAATTATGAACTAATGCGGTGAATGTACCTTGTCTCCTGACCAACAACATACTGATTTAATGTCAGTCCGAAGTTGGCGAAGTTAAGAAAAATACGAATTGATCAACATAGGTTACTAACCAATACGTGAGTTGTTTATCGTAAATAGGTAGAGTGAGAAATTCCGATGAATGTGGAGTTGACCTTGAGCCTTTTACAATAGGGGGCTGTTTTCTGTTCACGAGTGGATAACGTTTATGGTTGTCAGGGTGTCCTAGTAAAATGTACAGTGAGTTTGTATTGATAGACAAATCAGGGAAAAGTACGAAACCATCGCTATCGGTGTACTCACCTCCAATTCACTCCTTTCTAACATTCGATCTGACTTTTCTGTTTGACTCCATTCGGATAGAATTTTCAACTGATCACGGATCCAACTTTCCGGATCGGGAAATTTCATACTGCTCGTTGTCAATGCGTCACAATTCCCGGCCAATCTTCGCCTGGTCGTATTCACCCATTGCAACCAACGCCTCAATTTGTCCAGATACCGTTGTGCCATCTGACTGATCGTGACACACTGGGTGAGCACGTGGTTCAGGCGACTCGATCGAAGTTGCACAGACAGGGAATTGGTTAAGCACTGATACCACGTGACCACCACGGTCAGAATGCATCGTTCATCGGACCAACAAGTTTCAAATAAATCGGTCGGTTCAATCAACCGGGGTATACCTAAATGATCCGACGCTTGTCGAAATGCGATTTCAATCCGATGCCACGGTTCCACATCCCTGTCTAACATGTGATCATAATCGATTAGACTGGGCCAGTGACGATGTAGTAGAGCACAAAATGCCAAACCATCTCGCCAGCTCGAAGTAAAATCGACCACTTCAACCTGTTTTGTGTTTGTGTGTGTGGCAAAACAAAAAAGAAGCGTAAATTGAGCAACTAGAAAACACAATTGAATAAAAAGGAAATGAGATAAGGGTAAAAAAATGCAGACCACATCGATTTACAGTATTTACTGTCGAAAGCTCACATCACCGTTTGTGGTGAATTTGTCTAAGCTGAAGTGATTTGGTTCGTTTCAGCTGAATAGCATTCGACATACAGCTACCATCGTCGTTAAAATCCACCCTCACTCCATTTAAGGTCAATTAGTCAGTTGGACCACTTTTGTATTCGACCGTTTTCTTTGTTATTGATATGTCTAACTTAAATTGGTCGATACATTCAAATGACCAACGGTGATCGACACTTGTTCATCCGTTACCGGTCATGACCTAGCTGACTGATTCAGCTGATCACATGATGCTGTAATGGACGTTTAAGTAGCATTCTATCAATCAGCTGATCGAAAGTATTCAACACATGTTTATGTGACCAACAGGCCAAGACCATTGAAGCAAATTGTGACGACATCACAACAGTGCATACACGTTCAAACGAACTCCAACCAAACTCATTGTTCGCACGGAGCCCTAAAATAGAGTGAACGATCTGTTTTATCACAAGAATTTCTCATTTTATAGAAAAGCCTNGAAAAGCCTCAAATCAACCTGAACAAACAGTGCGGTTGCATTCTGGCTAGTCGATATGTGAATTAAAAATGTGCTGTGTTCCATTCAGCTAAATGCACCCACTCACCGTAACTTCGATGCCCGTGATGTCATGTGGCTGTAGCAGCCCCCGTCCGATCCACCTCATTTCTTGAACTTTTCACTAATACCAACAACGTTGTGAACAGTCTGCAATGACCGGTTACATTTTCCGGAAATGCCGAGGACAATCCTAACGGATGCATATATTTCATATCAATTATTCTCTTTGAGGAAATGATCAACTGAGAAATTGGGGTGAGTCAACCATTCGAGATGACGCCAGCCAATGGCCTACGCGTTCCTGTTTCTGGACATTAGGTCGTGGACCAACATTGTCGATCAATCAACAGGCGGACAGGTCATAGAAACGTCCTGTGACTCGAAGAACAAAGATGGCGATTGGTTGATACTCGCTTGACCAATGATTTATTTAATCCCTTTGTTTTCTTTCAATAAGCGAACCGCTACTTCTGTGACCTTTTTCCTGCATTTCGGTGACAGGAGATTCGAGCGTGCAAGTGCTAGTGCTACTTGGTGTTTCATTTGCGTCCGTGATTCGTGATTGGTGCCTATTTCGACTACTGCACCATATGCAGTAATGTTTTTGCTGTCGCTTACCGCATCAAGATTGCTAGCAAGGTTCAATGAATATGCAATGATACACTTTTCAGACAGGATGAAGGGACTAATTGAATGAGGCGGCCCGGTAACACACAGCGAATGGAAAACTTAGACAGCGTTTGTTGCCGTGATTCGAACCCACGTCCGTCCTCCGAAATGATAATTTGGTGACGTTACCAACCAGTCACTCAACCTGTATTCTATGCTGAGATTTCGAAGCTCTCTTATTCCGTTTGGGTGAATAGTCTTGCACATTTGTATCACACACTTGCAAGAGTTTCGTAAAATTGTACCTATGCCATCCAGATTGTGGAATATTGTGACTAATGGCAAGAAAACAAAAAGCAAGTTTTCTTTGACGGAAATGCAAATATAAAATGGGACCGACTGAATTTGAGCCAGTCTAAGTTGTGTGGCAGATGCACTGGTTCCTTGAACATATGCGAAGTAGATGATTTTCGGGGCTTGGCTCCTTAGCGTATTTATCGACGAATTCCATTTCCATTTCATCAGGAGCCAATTTGAATAGGACAGACTGGATAAATGGAGCACGAAAACCCTCGTCTGGTAACAGTATTGTAGTAATTGTAGTAACGGTAGTAGTATTACGCACTGAACTCGAAACACGAATCATGGATTACGAATCACTGAGTAGCAATCACAGACAACAGCATATTTTTTGGTTGATTGAAATTTTCTTCATCCCGTTATCCTATTATGTTGTTTCTCCGTTGCTCCACTCAACGGTGAATTTGATTGTATGGATGATTGTGCCAGTTGGTTATCAAATGCATTCTGTTGGACTCAATTTTATAAAGAAACAATAAATGAAGAGCCACAACATCAACTTATGGGCCTGTGGTCCATCCGGATCAGTGTGACCAAAATTGTCGACATACACGTATTGGTGCAACTGTGACTCTCGGTCCGGTACCGATCGGGTGATGCGCACAGTCACGGGCGATAAACTGCCTGAGGTCATTTGTCCAGACAGTGTTCCAGTGTTTGTCTAAACTACGAAACTAACGTAATTGCTGATAAATGCATTTTCCGATATTCTTGTACCTGAGAGTATAGTTTGTCAGTTTGTTCTATACAGTGTAATACTCATTTGCAGCTCGGAGATTAGCGGATTTGCCAACGTTCAGTGTTTTTATAAGTGTGCAGTAAATGAATGACTAGACTGAAAATGCCCAGAAGCACACGATCGATATCACGATTTTTGCCGCTTATCAGTTATATGCATATCCGGTAATGTTCTGTCCGGTCATTATTCTTATACTTAAGCTCCGTATGTGAATAAGAAGACCAAAATTATCAGGTACTCTTTCACCGGACGAGCGGCAAGGATTGTCAAACCGAGCCCGTGCTTCTGGGAGTTTTCTGTCCAGTCATTCATATACTACTCATTGCGAATATACATTTTTGTTCGATAAATCAAACTATCAACATATGCTCTCCTTCGTATGAGGGGAAGATGTGCTCCCATGTGTGTGTGTGTGTGTGTACGTGTGTGTGCGAATGTACCTGCGTGTAGTGACACACCAATGTGGTTGTGGGTAACTGACACCTACCTCGGACCACAGTATGTTAGAAGTTAAAAATATAATTGAAAAATCTGTGAGATCCATTTGGAAATATTGGTGACAGTCACGAAACGGACCGGTTGACAACACGGTTCCCTTTTCTGTTGTCCACAAGAACCACACTACACCACATCATGCAGGACTGGTGTTTCTTTTTTGTGAGGTTAAACGAATTCACAGGTTTTAACTATTGGCCTCCGAGTGTAAACGTGGCTACCGGTGTTCATCTGCTAAACCACTTGAATGTTTATTTCATCTGAATCTGCCTAATTCAGGTAATTTTTTATCTTTAGATACATCTTTTATTTGTGTGAGGAGGAAACGAGAAATTTACAAAACAAATCTTCAAATTTTGCGACCCATTTCTAAATAAATTTGTCGGATTGGGTGATCGGTATTCGGTCCAGTTAGCATTTGCAATAGACACCACCACAGCTATTGTGGATCATTAAGCACGCACAACAGTAAGCGCATAACCTCTACATATCTACTGATTGACATTTGATCAAACGCTTACACTGCTCTTGAATCAGTTACCACGTGTACGTGTTCAATTTCTCACATTGGGTGGATATGTCGGTAAAATAGTGATTATCTGAACGCAGTTCGCATCCTGAGAATCAAAGCAATCAAGTGCAGGATGACTAGTACTCGTCAATCATCGTATAAGAATGGACGTGGAAGGCCACTGTTCGAAGACCATAACCGCAAGTTTGCTGCTCGAATTGTGAATGAGCGTTGTAAACTAAGGAGTGAAATCGTATCACATCGGTGCTATACAAACTAATTTCTGTGGGTAGCATGTGCTTTATCAATCAAACTTCAGGGGAATTTGGTAGAGGTAATAAGCATTTCATGCGTGACGATCGTGGTCACAGTAACCACAGCGATTGCATTGGCTTTTGTCACTTTCACAGTTCATCAACATCATCATCAAATATACAAATTGCAGTCGTATTGTATCTGATTAAAAGATTCCCAATCTTCCCTTTGTAATATGTCTCATGTATTGAGTGAATAATTTGGAAAATGACCATTTGGATCACAAAATGTTCACTGTCGAATGTCGACGTCCAAGCAGAGAGCTGCAAACGTAACTTAACAATTCTTTTTTACATGAATGTAAAGCACGGCTCGGCAATACCTTTTTTGGTAAACCCATGGTTCGGTGTCCAAAGGTTCTTGCACTACAATCGGATGTGTTGGACTAGAAGCATACGACCAGGTTCGCGGTTCTTTCCGCTTGTCAAGCATTTTCGTCGTAATAACCTCATTGGCAATACCGGGTAATGTTGGATGGACAGCTCTTTCAGAAGCAGTCCATTTATGAATCACTAATTTAATTCGATGAGTAGTGGGTGAGTTAATTGCTACTAACCGTAACGAAAGTGATTTGGGAGTATTTATTAAATATTTTACACTCAACACAATTGTTCAAATTGTTGTTTGGCAGATTTAAATCTGCCAAATCTCCCAAACAAAAATTTGAACAATTCACCTTGTCTTAGAAGCTCATTCGGTGGACCTCGCTGAATTCTAAGGAAAACCTGTCGGGGCAGTCAGCTTACATGCTAACTGGTGGATGCCACATGCCTCTGTCAGTTGGATGGGTAAATTCGAATGTGAAAAAGATCAGTGCTATCGGTGTGGCCTCGTAGCTCAGCTGATAGAGCATGCGCGTACAAAGCGTAGTCGGCGTTCATGCGTGGGTTCGAATCCCACCGAGGCTACTGAACGTTTCACAATCGACATACAAAATAACAACAATCCCTATTTGAATAATCATTCATTTTATTCCCATTTTTCTATACAAAATAATGTGATATAAAATGTGACGTCTTAGCCAATTGATGAGTCACCGAAAAAGAAGCTTCTTCGTCAAGATTGCATTTGTCATTCGATAGGTGGCTTATCCTTTTGTCTGAAACACTGGGAACCGAGGTAAAGCAAGACCATTTGGTTGAGATGCCGGAAAGGTTCCAAGGATCACATTGGTAGATATCTTGCAAGGAGTTGTGCTGCATTATCATGTTTAATTCAGACGACAATCCGTAATTAATTTCGCCTGGTAGCCAAACTTGTCAATT